AAAGCATTTTTAAAACTTTTTAATAAAGCTTTTTCACCTTTTGAAAAACAAAAAGAGGAAAAAAACATCTTTAAACAATATAACCTTTCTGGAATCGATCTTGGCAATTGATAAATGTCTTTCAAACATAAAAGCTCAATATCAGAACTGGGCAAGAAAATTCAAAAATTTGGGCCAAAATTTGTTGGGGGAAGAAGAACCAGTTGACACAAGTCAAGAATTATAAGGGATACCCCATATATGATCTCAATCAATCGAATCATTTGAGCTTCGTAAAAGACTTGGTTCTCTGATCAAGTAAAAAATGAGAAATTAAAGACAACAGTAAGCAAGTTGGTTACCTCGACTAAGCACCAAATAGTACAGGGACTTGGCCACCAATGCCAAATAGTATAGGGACTTGGCCACTCATGTTAAATAGTATCAGAACCAAGGCCATCAAAGTAGACAATAGAGGAAATTTCATCTAGTAGGATTTAAGATTGTTCACCAAAAAGTGATGAAGTCTTAGTTCCCAAATTGAATCAAGAAAACATGCATCAGCACATACATACATAACTTTACATTTTTTCATCAAGCATTCATCATTGCATACAACAATAAACTTGAAACTCCTTCTCATGAGGATGCTTTTATAATTTCTCTTAAAATTTTATCTTACATAAGACCATTTTCAACCGCACATGACGAAAATTTTGAAATCTCATCATATGATTTCAAATTGACATTCTTGAAAACATTCAAAATAGTTGTATTCATACATTCACATTTTTTTACAAGTCTTTCAAGTTAGAAATGATCAATGGCAACTAGAACTCCTCAACGCGAAAGATCACTGTCATCATAAACAATCAGATCTCTTTAACACGAAATAGCAGTGTCATTTTAAAAATCAAAATATCTACGGACAATCAGATTTTCCTCAATGGGAATGAGAAATATTGTCTTCGTATGCACATTTATTTAAATGTGGTTAGTCGTCCTCATCACAAAGGAATGACATAGTCAACCAAACAACGATTTAGTATATCAATCATCTTTCAATCATGACTAGACCTACTCAATACGAAGGAGCAATGCCATTGTCAGATTTGACATCGTGCAAATCACCCAGAAGTGACCAAATCTCCTCATCGTATAGGAAGTATCATTTACAAAATCAAGTTACTTCCGGATAGTTAGACTTTCTCAACTCGAAAGAATAGTGTTGTCTTTAGATGTAATCACCCAAATACGGTTAGACGTCGTCAACATGAAGGAACAATGTCATCCACTAACTAGACCTCCTCTACATGAAAGAGAAATGTCATCTTAAGCGATCAGATTCTATTCAACGTGAACAAGCAGTGTCATTTCCAACATCAAATTATCTCCAAGCAATCAGATTTCCACAACAAGAAGAAAAAGTGTTATCTTCAGATGCACAGTTACCCAAATACGACTAGACGTCCTCAAGATGAAGGAACAATGCCGTCCACTGACTAGACCTCATCAACATGAATGAGCAATGTCAACACCAGATTCGACATTAAGCAAATCACCCCAAAGGAAGCCAGATTTTTTTCAATGTGAAAGAGCATTGTCATTTCCAACATTAAATTATCTCTAGGCAATCATATTTCCTTAACAAGAAGGAGTAATATTGTCTTCAGATGCATTGTCATTCAAATGCGGCTAATCGTCCTCATCATGAAGGAACAATACCGTCAAGAAACATCTATTGTATTCTTTGAGATTGCTTCTCTTGAAGCAAAATTTCATGTTGCTTATCACAGTTTTCCTTGAAACACAAACTTAAACAAATTTTGCCTCACTCAAGGTAGTTTTATCTTAAAAGCAAAAATTTGATCTCACATGAGATAATTTCTTATGAAACTAATTTTGTCTTGCTCGAGATAATTTCCTTTGGAACCCAAAGCATCGACATCGTTTCTCTTGAAACAAGTTTTGTCTTGTTTGAAATTTCTTTCTCTTGAAAGGACATCTTCTTACATCATAAATTTCAATTATTTTGAAATTCTTTCCTTTGGAACAAAACTTTGTAAAATCTCTCTTGAGATAAATATCATTTTCAGTCTCGCTTGAGACAATAACAATATTTCAAAACAAAATATGCAACCAAACGAAATATGTTGTTTGGTCCTCTTTGCCCTATTCGTGTCTTCACACTAATGGGCAAAGAGGGACAACTATTGACATCATTTTTCATCCCATTATCATCATCATCATCATCATTATTATAATTATTATTATTATTATTATTATTATTATTATTATTATTATTATTATTATTATTATTATTATTATTATTATTATTATTGTTGTTGTTGTTGTTGTTGTTGTTGTTGTTGTTTTATTTTATTTAGAATACAAATTAAACTAAGCCCAATAGTAAATCGGGCCCAAACAAAGACCAACAGGCCCAAGGACCCAAAACCTAAACCTAACCCTAAACCTCAAATAAAACCTAACCCTAACTTCTATCGTCGTCGCCTGACATCGTCCCTGCCACAGTCAGATCCGTCCTTGACCTGAGTAAAGCCGGGAAACATAGAGAAAATTATGGTTGGTTCAATCAAAACCTCTATATAATACGTAAAAACAAAAAAGAGGAGGATTCGAACGAAAAAAACAAAACCAAAAAATATTTGAAAAATAAAAAAAGAGAGGGAGCTCGAACGAACAAAAAATAAGAAGAGGAAATCAGTTTGGAAAAAAAGAACAAAAACGTAGAAGCCATTCAAACAACCCAAAATAAAAAAAAACAATAAAGAGGGAGAAGGATTATCCTCTTCGCGGGGTCACCGGAGAAGCTCGAACGTCACTAGAAACCCAAGCTATCCGAAGGTAAATAAATATTAGATCTAAGAATTTTGGTGAGTTTAAGGATTGAGGGGTTGATTTTCAAGTTTTGGGGAGAAATAGGTTGTTTAAGGCTTCTTACTCAAGCGTCGCCACCGTAGACGACTAATGAAGGTTGGCGTGCTCGGCGGTCGAAAGAACGAGACTTGTGGTTTCATAAAAAAAGAAACAAAATTAGAGAGGAAGAGAATAGAGAAAAGGCCGAAAAAAAAGTAGAGGTAAGGCAACCAAGTTTGGGTTTTAGAGATTATTGTGTAAGGGCTTCGCCTACTCTAAGATTAATCCATTTAGTTCTAAAATCGTGGCATTTTGAGTTTTTAATTTTGTCCTTTAATTTTTTACACATTTATTTTAGTACATGATGCTTGTCTATTTATCTCTACATTGTTTGTACATTTGACATGCAATTTTGAGAACTTTCGTTTTTAGTCTTGCTTATATTTATGTGTTTAATGTCATCACCAGTCCCTATATTCTTTGATCTTCGCATGTTGATATTTGTTTTTTTTTCATGCTTGCTAATAAATTCCTTATGTTACTATTTTTTTTGTTTTGGTCCTACATTTTTATTTACCTTTATTTAGCCCTTATATTTTTATATGTGTATTTTATAGTTTTAAGTAATATTTTAATATTGGTTATAAAATTTAATATTAAATATGATAATATTACATGTAGACTATATATTTTATTAAGGATGACTTTCTTATTTTATTTTATTATATATATAAATATATATATAAATGTTTTAGACATTTATAATATCTTTGATTGTTTGACTAAGTTATGGAAGACCTCTAAAAATCTAGAGTGCCCTTCTAAGGTTGTTCGAATAAATAATTTTACATTATTATTTGTTTTTATTAAGTTATTAGATACATATTTTATTCTTTTGAACTAAAATATTCTTTTTATTGGATATACTTTTTTAAATGTATATATATAAATATATATATATAAATATATATATATAAATATATATATATACATAATATTTTAATGTACAAACATTCCTTTTATTTATTTCATGTATTTATTTATTTATCTTCATTTATTATTTATTTATTTATCCTTGTTTAGTTTTATTATATTTTATCGATATTTCATTTATCTTTTATATCTCATTTATTACTGTTACATTCATAAATCACACATTTGTTTTCTCGTTTCTTAAAATATCAAAGACATGTTTGTCTTAACGTCGTGGGTTATCGAAATTACGTCCAACATGACTGGATTTCAATTTTCGTTAATTCAATTAGTAAGAAGATATCCTTATCAAATAAACTGAGTGAATTAAATCACCTTTATCGAGTCAAATATTTTATAAATAATTCACTCTTTTCAAAATTCATTGAAATAAAAGGATTGTAATTCAAACTTAAAATTCAAATTTGTAAAATTCCACCACTTAGACGTCATAATCGAGGATACCAATTTTAGGCGCTGTGAGGGTGCTTACCTTACGTCATTTGTAATCGATTCCCGATCCTTAAAATTGAATTTATGGTATACCAGACCAAATTTATCCTTTAAATGATTTTTCTAATTCATTAAAAATACATTTTAGGTATTCGACCTACTTAACTCAAAGATTAATGACGACTCCAAATTTCAAAACTAAACCGAAATCCAAATTTTTAAATAAAGTCATAATTATTTTAATATTAATTATTTATAATAAAATGATTATGACAGTCAGGAAAGGGGTGAGAGCTGAAAAAAATAATAGACGAGTTGAGAAAATAATTTTTGAAAAAAGAAATCAAGAAGATTTTTTTACCGAATTTTTTTTCTTAAACGGTAATTATAATTACATTAATTGAATCATTTTATATCAATCGAACAAAAAAGTTGAGAAATAAATCAAGAAAACACAACCTTATAAGCATGACCAAGCGCACATCAAGAGAGAGAGGATTCATTCGACATCAAAGAGAGAAACATTCAGCAGAGTGGTAATAAAATTTCCTAAAAATTTGCTTAAAGTAACAATTTGAACAAACACAACACAATCAGTCATCGCAGTTAAACTCGTGTGTGCAATAGTTTTACCTTTGTTAACAAAAAGAAAGAATGTTATTGAAAATGTCACAGGTGGGGGGAGGGACATTTAATTCCTTCTTCACTTGCCCACCTTAAATCTTAAGTTTGTTCATTTCAGCATCCACCTTAGATTGCCATCCGAGCTCCTCAGATTCAGCCATGGGTGTTGCAGACACTGCTGCGCAGTTGGTCGCTTTTCTGGTGAAAATCAAGAAGCGGAGAAAGAACTCCATAATTCACGAGCATCAGTCTCGGCGAATTTGTATTTATTCATCAACACTCGATCGAGTGGCAAGTACTTCAGTCTTCGAATCCTCTTCAGATCCCCACGCCTGTCAAAATCCTTTGATCGAGCTCCTCCAACAGCAATCTGTGCTTACACAAGCAAAAAATGAACATTTGAATCACATCTTTAAATAGGAAAGGACGTTATATAGAAATTATTTTACCTTCCGTGGCATCTTTCCAAGAAGTTCCATCATGGAGCTAGGTGATCTGGAGTGGAAGCAACCGAAATTGTTATTCACAGTGGCCCTTTATCACTTTTCTATCTAAAAGGTCATTATTACTAAAACAAACAAACAAACAAATGATGATGAAATAGTAGGCATATATATATTCATAATAATATGCGAATCAGAAAAATAATCAAATCTGTAATTCTATTAGAACCAGGACACACTCATAATATATATCTATGTATGTATGTTTTTTATGATGCAGCCTGTGTTATACCCAGAATAGTTCCCCTTTTATAGCTCTTCTGGTATGACAACCAGAAGATAAAACTAAGATGATCCTAAGCAACATGTCATTAAAATAGAACACATTGTTTTCATTGTTGCACCGCTCTATTCCCATATCCAAACAAAGAAGCTGCAAAAATAGGACAAGGAAAGACATTTTCGAAACTGTGATGCATAGAACAGCCATACCTCGTCTTCACTAAAACCTTCTCCGGTATTAGGTGTTGGTAATGCTCAATTTGTAACAGTTTTTTAAAGGTTTTTAATTCTATGATTAATAGAATTAAATTGTGATTTGGAAGTGACTATTTTGCCCTCACTATTTAGCCTATAAATAGAGGGCAATTTCATTCACTTTGAGATATCCCAAGCAAACATTTGCTTTGAAACACTCCTATCTTTTGAGTGTTGTTTGAGTTGAGAGAAGAGCAATACAACCAAGTTCACTCCAGTTTTCGGGTGTACGAATCTTGGAGAGCCGTGTTAACCTCAGGGGGTTGTCCATTGTAGCGATTACACAATCGGGGCGAATTTGCTTCTAAGGCAGTGGATTACCACGACACGGTTATCATTCTGATTGATTATTTTATTTAATATTTTTCAGTCAGTGCTAACGCCTCGTTTTGCAGCAGTCTATTTTACTAACAATTTAGAAGCAAATTCTTTAACTGCTGTTAAAAGAATATTTGTCTTGATTGATCATCGTTACAAGGATCTTTAATCCGAGTTCAGGTTTGATCTATCATGTTAAATGTTACATGTCTAATCTTTTACGAGAAACTGGCAATCAAGGCATGTGGGATGAAGTGTTTGTTGAGTATGGATTAGTCATGGCAGTAAACGTAAAGATGTTCGAAGGTATTTGGGATGAAGGGTTCTTCCCATAAATATGCTAGGAAGTATGTTACATTTCCATAATGCATACGTTTTATTATAATAATGCATATGTTTTATTATAATAATGCATAATAATGATGTTTAAAACATATGCACGTTAGCAATTAAAGTCATTAAATATTGTTTTTAACAAATGATATTATTGGTAAGCATGAATATGTTATAATCATTATGACATTATTGATATGCTTTAATCATTGAACGATTGGTTTATTATTAAAGGTGTAAAATCATGTTTATATATATTAGATTGCCAATGTTACGCATGTACCATAATTGAATATTAGTGGTATATTCAATGCATTAAAGAATGAATGCACATAAGTTATAAAATTTATGATGGTAACTTATGTGAATAAATGTTTTTACGTTTTTATTGTCTGCATTTATAAATGCACAATAACATATTTATCATGTGGTTTGGGAGATTAAAGTTATAAATGACTTTAAATTGGATTTATATGAAAATCCTTTAAAGATGTTGATTAATTTTTGTAACATCATAATCAAGAAGAAATGATTTTTAGAATTCATGGTTGTTTAAACGTTTAAACCGTTTTTGAATATATACCTATATTTATTGCTATAGTTTAGAATATAGTAAAATAGGTATTTGGGAAAACGTTGATTTCAATGCTAAGATGCTTTAGATGCTATAATGATATGAGTTATAACCACCGTTAGCATAATGAGAATTTATATATTTATTAATATGCTATAACGGTTTCACTAATGTGATTTTTGTAACTCATTATGTTGTTATATTAAAAGGAGCATGTTAAAAGGTGTTGTTACATGAGTTAAAGGTGAGTAACATCTTTATTTACTAATACGTTTGGGTTGAAACATTCTATGCATTTATTATAGCTTTAAATATTGGATTTATATTACTTTGTAAATAAGTTTGAATTGAAACGTTGAATAATTTAATGGCCATTATTTGTGCAAATTATAGCTTTAATGGTGTTTATTTACAAAGTAATATACAGATTGAAGTATTAGCCGATGGTGGTTTCACCGTTCTCGTTTGGGTCTTGGTTCACGAGAATGTTGAAATTGGTTAATTTATTATTATTATTATAATAAATTTTGAATTGTTATTGAAATGCCCATTTGTTATATGCATGGTGAAAGAAACCTTTAATGTGCATTAAGGTTAATCAATTTAAATGCAATAAAGCTTTGCATTAATATTTACATGAAACTCATGTTTTCACATTTAGTGTTGTAGTTTCATGATTTTTTTAATCTTAAGCATGAATGTTAATATAATCATTATATTTAAATGGTTTAAGTTTCAATAGGAGGTTGAACAATTTATTAAATAGTTATATATATGTTTGTTAATAGCTATATAAATGTTGGTGTTTAGTAAATGTTCAATTTGAAACTTATATGCTATAATCAAGAAGTGACATGATTATAATGTGATTAACATTTTTGTGAGATAATGCATGTATGATTGGTTAATATGTGGAAAGATTAACTATTTATTTTCATGTGGGAGTAAGATTATTCGTTTCTGAATATTAAGTTGAAAATAATTTTATCATACTGAAAATTTCTTTTGAAATATTTATAAAGATAACAGGATGGTTGTAATTTTGGAGAATCATGAAGATGATGATGCAAAGAATGAAGTTGCATGCATGGTGAGAATGAACAAGTCTATTTGGAATTGTGATTCTACCTGTGAGGTCAGATTTTTAGACTTGTTGCCTGTTAATTCATGCCTTTTAAATACATGAATTAGATTGCATGAGCCTTTAAGATAGTCTTTAAAACTCAGTGGATACTATAAAATGAGATAAAACCGCTATTAAGACTAAGGTAGTACTACTAAGGCTAAGGCAGTAGTTTGAGCCCAAATTTATATGCTTAATAAGATACTATTGTGAGTAAAAGTATCAAGCATAATTCTTTAAAGAGATCTTATTTAAAGAAAGAGAAAATTCACAAATGATTTATTGGAAAGAAGTGTGATGAGTATGAAAGTGCATGTCTAGGATTGGTTCTATGAAGACTTGGTACTTAAGCGTGCCTAGTGCACCACCTCTCTTTCATAGAACCTACCTGGTGCATTGTTCATTACTATGCTCACTATTCCAATACTATGACAAGATAAAAACTCTTACAAACTTAGTGCAGAAGTTAAAAGAGTAGAGATTAATTTGGTTGAGCGGAATACCAAATTTAGTCATAGTAAATAAAATATATGATGATCTCTTTAAGGCTAATATGTTGAATATCATGAATGAGTATATGATATAATCTATTGCTACTAAAAGTGTGTGTAGCTATAAATCTCTTTAAGTGATTTTCCTAAGTAGAGGAAAGAAAAGAGATTATCTATTTCAGTTGTGCTAAAATCTCTTGTTTTAAACTTGAGATCATTTTTTCCTGATGTTAGGAAAAAATCGAAATTCATTTTGAATGAGGAAAAGTCATAAAGAATTTCATATTGGTTTATGCATTTTAATCTTAATGATTTGTAACTTCTCAAAACTTTGAGAATATAATTATGTGTAAACAAAACTTGAGTTTGTTAAAATATAGTTTTATGGCTAAAACTCATAACAAACTTTACTCTAGTATGATTGAGTATTTGTTTACACGTTTTATAAGACACTTAGGATATCCTAAAATGTTAGAAATGTGTGGGTGTCTTAAAATGTAGATTAAATGCATAAACTCAAATAGAAAATATTCTATCAACTTCTTCTAGTATTCCTGCTAGGCCTTCTCAAGAAATTGTTTTCGAGACTAGAAGAAGTAAAAGGCTATTTGGACCAAATTTTATCACTTCCTTTATTTCTGAGATAAATGATTTAGACTCTTTCTGATCATATAGCTTAAATATTATATAAGGATCCTAAAAAGGCTATAAGATCTATCGATACTAGTTCTAGAAAAGCGCTATTAATGATGAACTAGAATCGATAATGTCTAATCATACTTGGGAATTAGTTGACTTGCCTAGAGGATTTAAACCAATCTGTAGCAAATGAATCTTCCGGAAGAAAATGAGACCAGATGATTTGATCCAGTGGTGCAAGGCAAGGCTAGTTGTCAAAGGGTTCACTCAAAGTTTGTTTTAAACTACTTTGATTCTTACTCTCCCATTATGAACATCTCAACGATCCGTGCATTATTTGCACTAGCCTCCATTCATAAGTTGCAAGTACATCAAATGGATGTTAAGACTGCATTTTTGAATGGAGATCTAGATGAGGAGATCTATATGAGAACAATGGTACAAGAAATTTCATAAAACTATACTTAGTTTTGGTTTTGTTGTGAATGGTTCGGATGCTTGCGTGTATTCGATGATGTTTGATACTGATTGCGTCATCATAAGTTTTGTATGTTGATGACATGTTGATTTTCAGTTCTAACATTGAGTCCATTAACAAAACAAACGGTTTCTTGTCCACTAAATTTGAGATGATGGATCTGGGAGAAGTTGATGTAATCTTAGGAGTCAAACTTACTGGAAAGGAATTTTCTTTATGTCAAGCACACTATCTTGAGAAAGTGTTAAAGAAATTTGACAGTTTTGACGTCGTCCCTGTTCGAACTCTTGTGACACTAGCATATATCTCTTTAAGAATAAAGGAAGTAGCGTTTCCCAAAACATAATATGCTAAATTAATCAGAATTTTAATTCTTAAAGAACTATACTCGGCCTGATATTGCTTATGATGTGAGTAGACTAAGTAGATATACTCATAATCCGAGTGGTGAGCACTAGATTGCTCTTAAACGCTTACTGAAGTATCTTAAGGGTACTTTGGATTGGAAACTTGAATTTGTTGGCTTTCCTGCGATACTAGAAGGATATTGTGATGCCAACTGGGTTTCTGATAATGATGAGGTAAGCTCTACGAGCGGGTATGTTTTTACTTTGGGTGGAGCAGCATCTCATGTAAATCATCAAAGCAGACTTGTATTGCTCGTTCTACCATGAGACAGAGTTTATAGCTCTTGACCTAGCTGGGCAAGAAGCCGAGTGGCTCAGAAGATTGTTAGCAGATATTCCGTTGTGGGGAAGACCGACTCCTCCAGTTTCATTGTTGTGTGATTCACAAGCTGCAATATGTGTGGCTAAGAACCAAGCTTACAATGGTAAGAAAAGACACATTCGCATAATACATGAATCAGTTAGACACTTGATAAAGAATGGAGTGCTCTCTTTAGAGTATGTGAAGTCGGAAAGGAACCTAGCAGATCCGCTTACCAAAGGGTTAAGTCGGAAGCTGGTCCTAGATTCGTCGAGGGGGATGGGCCTAAAGCCCATTGGTTGAGGAATTCATGGTGGATACCCAACTTAGTTATCTAAGTTCCATGTGGTCAAACGAAACCATGGAAAGACTCATAGTGCACATTCTACTACCTATCCCTATGATGAATAATGTGCATGCCCAGGATGAGCTTAATTGCTCTTAATAAATTCATAGCCCAGGCTTTGGGTGGTCTTAGTGAGAAAGACTTGATGAATTTACCGATTTGGTTGAATATCTATTCTTAATAAGTTCATAACCCAGAGTTGAGTGGGTAGTTCTAATCGCGAAGGACTAGATGAACTTACCGCTTGAGAGGATGAGTTTTATTAAACTCTTAATGAATTCAAACCCAAGAGGTTCCTAGTGAGAAGGACATATTGAATGGGAGTTCCTAGTGAGAATGACATATTGAATTCACCGAATTATGAGGATGAATATTATTCTTAATGACTTCTTATCCCAGAGTTGGGTGGTTCATTAATAATGAACTTGAAGAAAGTCACCATACCCTTGTGAGGTTGAGCTATTATAAAAGCTCTTAATTATTTCATAGCTCAGTTTGAGTGGTTTATGTTGATATAAATTTGATGAAATAACCTACGTAAGTGAGAAGGATTAGCCACCTTCTATGAAAAACGTTGGGCCGTTTTTCTAGTACACTTATTAGAATCCTGAGGAAAGAGGGCTAAACATATATACGCTTTTGATATATTCTTTGTAGACACATCGAGAACTTTGGTGGATGAAGGGGTTAGTTGTGTGTTATGAGTTTACCCCAATCTTAGAAAGTTCCAGACTAGTTTCACTATCTAAGAGAAGGATTGCTCATCATCACTATGTACTAGTTCCATACGTTCACTAGTGCTTAAGCAACTAATCTCGCTATTGCTCTTCTCATGTTTTTACTTCATTGCTCTCATCTTTACGAAAGAATTCTTTCGCATTAGTGGGGAATGTTGGTAATGCTCAATTTGTAACAGTTTTTTAAAGGTTTTTAATTCTATGATTAATAGAATTAAATTGTGATTTGGAAGTGCTATTTTGCCCTCACTATTTAGCCTATAAATAGAGGGCAATTTCATTCACTTTGAGATATCCCAAGCAAACATTTGCTTTGAAACACTCCTATCTTTTGAGTGTTGTTTGAGTTGAGAGAAGAGCAATACAACCAAGTTCACTCCAGTTTTCGGGTGTACGAATTCTTGGAGAGCCGTGTTAACCTCAGGGGGTTGTTCGTCCATTGTAGCGATTACACACATCGGGCGAATTTGCTTCTAAGGCAGTGGATTACCACGACACGGTTATCATTCTGATTGATTATTTAATTTAATATTTTTCAGTCAGTGCTAACGCCTCGTTTTGCAGCAGTCTATTTTACTAACATTAGGAGCAAACATCATGTCACCAGTAGCAAGCTCAAAGGCTATGCAACCAAATGACCACATATCGACGGAAAAGGAATACCCAGATTGAAGTACGACCTCAGGAGCTCTATACTGCCTTGTTTGAATTTCTTCTGCAAATCGTTTGTCAGCCCAACATGCATTTCCAAAGTCCACAACCTTGCACCTCATATCAATCCCATCAAGACATCTTGCAGGTTTTAGAGCTTCTCCTCCCATTGAACCTCTTCTACTAGATATATTAGCGACTGCACGTTTTGCCCTCCGTTTCAATTTTTTCTCAATGATGTTTGCCGTAGATCCGCCATTTAGGGTGCCCCCCTCAGGCCTCGCTAGGATTGGAGTAAGACCAGATCTAATTGGATCCTTGGCTGGATCAATTGTGGAAAGGAGAAGAACATTTTCAGGTTTTAGGTCAGTGTGGATTATACCAAGCTCCCTATGCAAGTAATCCAGAGCTATCAGAATACATTTGCAGATCTCCCTAACTTTATTCAATTCAAGCCCTTTGTAACGGTTAAACCTGATTAATTGAAGTAAGCTATCACCAAGGAATTCGAGGACCATGCACAGATGTTGGCCGTTCGGGCCAGTGTGCTTAAAATGATCGATCAGGTGCACCACACTCTTGGAGTTTGAAGGGTCTCCATCAGCAATAGAACGAAGGACTTCAATCTCGTGAACTGCAGCTTCAGCAAACTGTTGTGCGCTCTTCTGAATCTTTAGAGCGGCATATTTCGGATTAAAATTGAAAATGGTTTAGATAATACAATGTCACCCTCTTCTTATGCAACAAGTTTTATCCTCAAACCTCAATCATAAGGATCAATTCTAAGAAAATATAACGAACATCTTTCATCAAGATGCAGCATAAAGATTTTGCCAACTCGTACATAAAACACTATTCAGATTCCAGACCAGGATTCTTTTTCTTAAGGCTCAATCACCCTGATTATTTTATATTTCATACGATCACATACATATAGTAAAGTATCTAAGGGTTGATCGCCGATCCCAAGAAACAGATAAAAATGTCGTAGAGGTTCAGATCATAAAAGCATGAATTCATATCATACAAATTGGTGATGAAAGGTATAGAAATGGGGGGACATACAGAGGATTGAGTATCGTAAGCGAGCCAAACGGTGGAGAACTGGCCCCATCCCTGATCCGCGCTATACGACACGTAGGAGTATAGCGCGAATCAGGGGCCGCGCTATACTAGTATCTGACACGTGGGGTAGCGTGGTACAAAGGGCGCGCTATATCTTTAATTACTCACCCGTCCACCCCAATCATCCCTATAAATACCCCGTCCTCAATCACTTTCATCACACCAAATTCTCTCAAATTCTCTATGTTTAAGGTATATTTTATAATATTTTTAATATTATGTATTTAATTTATTTAAGTAATTTACTTTATTTAATATTTTACTAATATAATTCTTTGTAGATATATAATGGAAGACAGTCTACTTCGCTTGGATGGAAATCATATATCTCGACACTTTGCTAATACGGTAACATTTTAACGTTTTAATTTAATTTAAATTATTAGAATATAGTTGATTTATTTAATGCATGATTATTATATTAAGAATTAATTTTTGTAATTATTTATTTTAGAGAAGGACGTGTATTATATCATTTATAGGAATCTTACGTTAGTGATACCTAGCCGTGTCTTCAGTATTAGTAGAGGCTGGATTTGGTAACATAGGTAGATATCAAGGTTACTGTAAGATAGAACCAGACCTTTCTGCCTAAGTAGAGCGGTGGAGGTCGGAGACCCACACATTCCATCTTCTGTGCGGAGAGTGCACGATCACGCTGAGGATGTTTCTATGCACCTGGGGCTTCCGGGGATGGAGATGTGATATCAGGGATAGCTTCCGATTCTTGGACTACTTTGTGTCGGGATAATCTAGGACGTGCCCCAGAAGTTTTATCAGAGGTAGGATACCGTTAAATTGGTTAGATGCCAATTTTCGGGAGTTGAGCGCAGAGCCTCTAAGGATAAGGTTAAGTGTATGCACGGGCATGCATATTGCAGTTGATAGGAGGGTTGCTAATGCTGGACAAATCGCACAACCTAGTTCACTGCATGTGGTTGTGACATCTTAGCGACTTTCATCTCGTCGGATCATTCAGTTGGGGCTCGGCAGTTTTGTCTTTGTTGTACAGGGAGATGTGTGGAGCCACTAACGGCGTAATGCTATCGGCGGGTGTCTCCTACTGCTGCAGTCTGGGGCATGGTATCGATTGCCCTTTTTATGTCCCGTTGTGAAGAACTCATTCGTATTTCCACCACTTTTGAGGTAATTATAAAACTGATTTTGTATATTAATATTTTATACAGTGTATAATAATTTTTTCCTTGAATAGGTGGTCGACTGATAGGAAAATCATCATGAGCTATATGATGATTTAAAAAATTAGGGTGCTAATGATCAGAAGACTAGCACACAGTATGTTTTAATGTTTAAAAATCGATTTTAGATTATAGTTATATAATTAGATTTTATTTTGATGAAAATTTATATTATTGTTTATTTTGAACGGGTGCCATATTCTACTGATGATGTGAGGGCGGTGATCCCACCTGAGTTGAGTGGTCCATCAGATGTTTGGATGGCGATGGTCCCTCTGATCTGTTATGCGACCGTCGAGTGGCACTCCACTGATCGCGTGCTCCGAAAATTTGGTTGTTTTCAACCAATTCCGGAAGCACCTCTCAATATGGATGAGTTGCATAATTAGATAGACGCGGCAAGACAGATACAGATTGGCTGGTGAGGCATCAAGAGTGGGTCGTGTTGTGGGATGATCGCATCGGCGCCCTTCACGTAGAGAGCCCATTTTTACTGATTTCTTAATGTATGCTAAGGATTATTATGAGTGGTTCAACAGTAACGGGAAACCGTTTCTACTTCCCGAGGATGCACGAGGGCAGACATTTCCACGACGTCGATAGAGACGTTCACCGACACAGCACCATTGACCCGACTCATGGACGGAGAGCAGGTGCTTCCAGTTCATCCTTAGCTGCACCAGCAGGACCTTCACAACAGCCACCACAACTATTTATGATGCCACAGCCATATATGATGTCGCCATCGCCTTTCCATTACCAGATGTCACCGCCGCCTTCACTTGATTTTATGACCCCGTCGTCGCCACCGTCACAGATGACCCCTCCTAGAGGTATTATGGGTCTATGTTTGCAGATCCGACTTGGGTTCATATGCTAGATATTTGGCGGGTCAGCCTCATCACCCATGGCCACAGCAGACCCTCCTGTACAGTTTTCACACTCAGCGATGTCTGGGTTTTCCCAGTTTTCGCAGGCCGGTGGGATAGTCAGTTATACACCCAGGGTCCTTATTCTATGGAGGTGCTTCATCTCATCAGCTCCTCATCACCTAATGTACCTGCTCAGGACGACGACGATGATGATGACAGCGAGCGAGGAGTCAGAACCAGTGATACGAAGAAATCCTCCTCGAGACCGACAGCCAACGCCGTGCGGAACACATTCGCGACGCATGCATCGATAGATTTTTTTATTATTGTATTTACTTTATTTTGTTTAATTATAGTTTTTATTATTTCTCATTTAATACTTACTTTATTTTGTTAAATTTGTTGGGCTTTTTTTTAATATATTTCAGTTAATTTTGTTTATTACCATTTAATATCAGTTATTGTAATTGGTTATCATTTACTATTTAATTCTTATTGTAAGTTTGTTGTATTTAAATACCAAATTGTTATTAGTTTGATAAAATTTAATGATTGGATGCAAATTAAAATACAAGAATTATTATTTGATAAACAATACATCATTTCCTCATCAATTGTTACTTGATGACAACAAAAGTGAACATGTTTTTCTAGTGTGTCATGGGTTTCTACAATGGTCACATCTTTTGTCTTGTCTATCTTCTCGAATATCCATATCGCAATGAAATTCGATGGATTTTGGAAGACCACGCTCCCTCAATAAACTAGGATTTGGTACAATCGGAAGCCAATCTTGAACCTCGTCAGAGTCTTTGTCATTACCTATGGGGGGAAACTCAAATTCGTATACCTTAAAAACTTCAGATAGTAGGTATACGAGATCCACAAAATGGTTATAGTCTTGACGTGTATGCGAGCAAGCTGCTATCACATGATAGCATGGATACTTCAGAGCTTGAAAAACCCACAGTCGCACGTTCTGTCCCTTAGATTTACTCTAACGACACAACTTCAATCTCTTGAAGAGGTTGCGGCAACTCTGTGACACGAAACATTTCATGACTTCTAGAGAAGCTTGTTACAGACATTCCATTTGATGCAATAATTTTTTTCTGTAGATCTGCAACTAATCTAGAGTGATAGACATGACCGCCTTGCATCCAGGTTTGAGCTTGTCCCCCGAGCTTCGCAAAAAGCGCCCCCAAACAAAAATATGTAGTTTTTACCAAAGCCGCTACAGGTAAGTGACGTGCACCCTTTAAGGTTGAATTGATTGCCTCAGCCAAGTTGGTCGTCATGTGTCCATATCGATATCCACCATCATATGCGTTCGTCCACATTTCTTTATCGATGAGGCTGATGTAATCGTATCCTTCCTCGTTCTTCGCCCACAAATCTTGAAGCATTGATTCAAACGTTTGAGGAAGTAGTTCGTAACCTGATCAAAAAATGTATAGCTTACTAACTTATTTTCTTTGCAAAATTAAAATGATCAAAAAATGTATAACTTACTAACTTGCTTTCACTTACCCATGCGCACAATTAATTGACTCATCATTCTTCTGTACCTTCCATGATAGTTCGCAGCAATGTGTCGGAGACAATACCTATGTTGGACAAAGGGTGGTTGCCACATTAGACCCAAAGACTCCATTCCTGCTTCGATCCCAGCTCCGCGATCTGAAATGACACAAATGTTTTCCCTCGTGATAATATGTACACGTAAATTTTGGAGAAAAAAGCCCAAGAATCTGCATCTTCTCAATCGACAAGAGAAAAAGCAACTGGAAGAATGTTGCGATTGCCATCTTGGACAACTGCCAATAATAAAACTTGCTTGTATTTTCCATACAAGAAAGTCCGTCGATCTAGACCACAGGCTTGCAGTATTTGGCAGCATTAACGCACTGTGGGTAACTCTAAAAAACCTGGTAGAATTGGCTTCGATCGTGAAGAACTCGATCATTATGGTATGCATAGGAAGTTTTGAATTCCACAATTGTCACAGGATTCAACGTCCGCACCAGCCTAAACCAACCTGGAAGTTCGTTGTAAGATGCATCACATTCGCCATGAAGTTTGACAATGACATTTTGTTTTACCAACCAAGCTTTTTATAGGAGACAGTGTACCCATACTGCGATTGTATAGTTAAATCAACACTGCAACATCTATATGAGAGCTTGCTTTTACCATGGGCATGATGGCTTGGCATATCATTTCAGAGTCCAAGTTGGGATGACCTTGGTTGACCCCTCCAGCACAACATGTGTGAGGACCGTTGTATACTGTTAGTTCCCATATGTTGTTTTTCCTCTTTATTTTCGATACGCGAACCATCCGATTGCATCCGTTTTCGCGTCGGGCACAGTAGCATACATATTTTTCGGTCGTCGATCGGTTGACTCTGGACTAAACAGAATTACGGATATTATAATTTTTGATAGCCATCATCGCTTCTTCTTTTCTTGAAAACTCCATGCCTAAAGATAACTCACCTTTATTTATTGATGAGTAATATCCATAGTCACCGAAATAAGGCATATCCGCAAATTCTGGCTCGTACATTGCACCATAATCAGCTTCATACATGTGTGCAGGAGGGTCAGTTTGTGTCACATTTCCTAGAACTTCATCTACATCATCATCATCATCGGAGTTGAATTGCGGTGATTCTGGGTGAATGAATAGTCCGGTCTCAGCACCATCCGCACCAGGCTCACGAAGCGGTTCTTCTGGTGGAGATGATGGTTCCTCCATGAGCTCCACATTTAGGTCGAAGAACCTACTACTTGCATGTCTTCCCCTTGAACTAGAAGGCATATCGACATTGAGATCGAAAAAGCTCGCAGTCGAATGCCTCCCCCTGGAGCTTGAAGTCATCGTGTCAAATGGAAACTGCACAGATTATTGCGTCGATGATATCTCCATAATAAGGTCAAAGAAATTTGCAGATGAATGTCTTCCCCTTGAACTGGATCAGCCAGCCAGCCCATAGTGGGCTGTCAACTTGATCAACTTGTTCAGTCAGCCCATAGTGGGAGCTTAATGATTGACCTCGAACAGTACGCACTTGAACAAAATGTGCATACATCTCAATAGCGGCGTCTGAATAATTACTTTGAGCTTCAACCATCATTTGAACATCATCATTGTTCGAAAGTTCGAACGCTGTATAAGTTAATGGCAACAATGATGTTGGAAATCTGTAATGCAACGACGATATTCTTCTACTACTTCCATCATGAATCTTCCTCGAAATCTTCGTTATCAGCTCCTCAAGAGTTATGTTTATCTTGAATGATATTTTAACACGCTCATTTGATACGAAAACAACTCCGATTTCTTCTTCTCGAATTTCACCATCATAATAACAATAGTTGAAAGTCGGGCCATTCTTTAAGTTTAAAAGTGCGGCAATATTATATCTGCAAAAAAAAAATAACTAAAACAAACCTGATTAAATAATATGAACGAAAATATAACACAATAAATTTTTTTACACATCAACATAAATAATTTAAATAATATAATTTTATATTATTACCTGCACCGCAAAACTATTTCGACGTATGCTCCCGCTTTTCAATTTTACAAAGATAAAAATTAATTGAAAATAATTAGTATAATATTTTTTCAAATTATATAATAAACAATAAGTATAATTAAAAAATTATAACAAAATTACCTTATAACGAAAAATCGCACGAACTTCTAAATCAAATATGAGAAGATTGCCGTAATTATTACTCGTTGACGAAATTGTTGTATTAATTTATAAGTTGAGAGGAGAGATGCGAGGAGATGTGAGAAACTTAACCGGCGGAGGAGAATATTTATAACTATATAAGGCGTGGTACCTGCACCGCGCTATATGTAATTATTCAGATAAAGGATATAGAGCGGACCAGGGACCGCCTTAAATATAATTCACTCCTACGTGGCGTATAGCGCGGATCAAGGGACGCGCTATACACACGTGTAACCCATGTTAGCGTATAGTGCGGTACAGGGGGCGCGCTATACCCCACGTGGTGCCAAATCAGCATATAGTACGGTTCAGGGGGCGTGCTTTACTGCTACAGGTGTTAGATCGAGAAATATAATCTGACCGGTATTAGATCGGTATATATACCGATCACCAGTGATTTTTCGGGAAATACACCCCTTGTTGGCTTTGGTATGTTTAACTAACAAACTTATTTTATTTTGTTAAAGGAGGAAAGGAGCGTGGCCATGTTACCATGCATGCATCTCTGGGTGTACTATCTACTGGTATGTAGTATGAAGAGGAGATCTTGGGCTTGGGCTTTGACCAATTCGCTATTGGTTTTCATCGTCAGGAATTTTGTTTCTTTTGTTCAAGCCCATAGGAAACAGAAAAATAAAATAAAAATTTGATTTCTTCTTTAAATAAAAGTTTACCACTGTCAGTTTGCCGCTTAAGCCCCAATTATTGGCTTCTACGGATGACGATGCTGTCATCCCCAGCATCTTTGTGGACCATTTGATTGAGACAATATTGTCTTTCTTTGCGGACAGGAATGTTCCACCAAATCAAACTCAACAACCCCAATTTTTTCTCCATTCTTTTTTGAATAAGACTCGATATTTATAAATTATTGTGCTTCCTGCTAGTGCTTTCTACTTTGTTCTTCCTGTTAAATTATTTTGTTTTCATTTTTTTGGCGTGCGTAATGTACATTAGTGACGTATATAATTATTTTATTGAAATGTGGCATCTATATGATATTATTTAAAATATTATATTTATAATATGTATCGATGGTTAATTAACTAATAACTTTTATCAAACATAACTTATTTTAGTACAATAAAATTTTTGGGTCGCTAAAATATAAAAAAAATGACTATATGTATAAATATTATGGGCTAATTTTATTATATGGCAAAAAAATTATTCATATCTATTATTGAAGTATCAATACTTTCAATCAGGTACATATACTCGAGATTTAATAGTAATACTTTCACTCTTGACCAGTAAAATTCTTTATAAGAAATTGAAAATAAAGCATAGATATCGATACCTAAGCATTGTTTTTCACTTAAAAAAAGGCTGACTTCCAAAGCATAGAACCACCTGACAATCTGATTCTATCAGTAATGGAGTGCAGCTACACCACCCTGCCTCAGAGAAAACTTCAGAGCTATTAACATAGCAAACAACTCCGAACCCTGATCAACTAAAGAACCAGAGAATAAAGCTTTAACCTCGCCATTCGAGGTTCTTAAGACACCATCGCAGCCTGCTAGGCGCCTCGGTTTGAAGCTTCATCTATATTAAATATTTAAATTTCACAGCACCATTCCGAGGAGCAAGCCAATAATCGGAAACAAGATTTTCAGAAAGAACGGACAGGCATGAAATCGGGTCAATCCACCAGTTCTCTTCACATAACTTGATATTTGCATTAATAGCTTTGATCCAAATAAACGCTTTCATTTTCGAATAGAAAATAAGATCGCTAAGAGGGGAGTCTTTACCTTTAATTATTTTTTCATTTCTAGCAAGCCAAAGACTCCACAAAGCTGCCGCTATGGAGATTAACCAAATCGATTTTAACTGCCCCGACCAAGAAGTCCTTAGGCAAAGGTCTAAGAAATCATCCATAGAAATGCAAGGAGACTAAGCTAGGGGTGTTTAACGAGCACGAGATGCTCAAACTTGACTCGGTCAAAACTCGATAAATGTTGACTCGACTCGAACTTAACTCTAGACCTTAACGATTTGAGTGATAATTTCGCGAACTGTTCGTTAATTTTTTAAAATATTTTTTTAATAATTTTTTTAAAATTATTTCATCTAAAAAATAAATCTAAATACTAACTATTAATTTATTAATAAAAAATAATAAATGATAAATTAACTAATCTATAAATTCTATAATAAATAATAAATATAATATTTTACAATAAACAAAATAAACCCAACCCTAATATCCTAAATTCCTAATTCAGTCTTCTGTCTTCACAGCCCCCCTCCCTCGCGCCTCTTCAGTCTTCACAAACCATTTCTTGTCTCTCTTTTCTCAAATTTCAAATTCGAAAATTTCAATCCATTAAATATCAATTTCATTCCTAGTTGGAAGCCATGACGGGTAAGTTTACATTTCTCGTCATTTTCTTATTTTATTTAAATAGTTTAGTTTAATTTTTAATAATATTTTATTTTTCTTCTTTTAACAATGTTTTTTGTCCAAGCTTGATTCCTCCTCTGTTCTTATGCTTGATGATGGTGGTAACGGAGTTTTTTGTTTAGGCTTGCTAAAAACCCAATGACGATACATTATACTGAAACTTTAAAGAAATAAAAAAATCTACTGTCTACAGCACTTGTAAAATAATATCTTAGTTACGTTAATTTTTGTAAAATAATATGTTCAATTGATTTTAAAACATCAGCTAATTAAGATTCTCAATGCTGTCTTTGATTTTGTGAATTCAATTGCAACAATCGGCACTTTCAGTATGTTTTATTTTGGATACTGCAAACCGAAAATGATTATTTTAAGACTGTGTTTTAGTGCTATAATAGGCTAACGTCCAGTAATTGAGTTCTTGATAGGTGTTAATATGTTCAAGGTTAGTTTGTTGTTAAATTTTTAGATTATAACTATAGCAGGTTGCTGCTGGAAATTATATCAATAAATTGATGAATTTAATGTGAGCAGATGCTTTTAGTGCCCATGATCAGAATCCCGTGGTTGAGGAATTTGATGTGAATATTGATGATGAGATGGAGATTAACGATGATGAGGTAGATGATGATGATAAGGTGGAAAATTGAATCAAGAAATACCTCTAAATAACCCTCAAGAAACCACTCGGAAAGATAATTATGATGTTTCTCTAAATGGCCCTTTTAAGAGAGCAAAATAATATGAAGTTTAGAAAGACTTGGGAAAACCTGAAATGATAAACAATCAGGGGAAGGTAGGATGTTTACATTGCAAGGAACAATTAAAAGTACTTAGTTATGGTAGTACTATTCATTATAAGTGACACTTGAATAAATGTCCACAAAAACGGATGAAGTTGCGACAGCAAACTTTAATTAACTTCCTTCCATCGGATTCAAGTGCTGTATCACCTGATTCTTCATTGACAACCAATTTGTGACTTTCAAGTCCTCAAAAGATTGAGGGTCTGTTTGTTTGGGGAAAAATATTTACCGTTTTCCCTTGTTTGGTTCATGTAAAAGTGGTTGGTCATGGGAAAATATTTTCCCGGTCAAAGGAAAATGGCCCCTTTATCTCGTAAAACAACTTACAGTCTGTAAAAGGGTAAGTCATTTTCCAGCTTCACCTTCAAAGTTGATACCCAAAATTGTCTGATCAAACACCACCATTGACTGCTCACCGGTGACATTTATTGAGGCCAACGGTCATCTTCTCAGGTAAACAAAAATATTTATTACTCCTTTTGTAATTTCAAATTTTTCTGCTTCCTTGTTTTTGTCCCAACTGATTTTGTTGTCTAGCTTCTCGTCCCTCACGTTTCACAGCCTTCTAATACTCTCAGTTGATGTCTTTGGAGCCCTCTCCATCCCTTAGCAGAAAGCTTTCCCGATTGAGTCAGAAGCTACTTTTTCCTCATTCGATTTCCTTTATACGAAATTTTCATGATTTGTTCTGTGTTTGTTTCGGAGAATTTGAGTTTCACTGGTTTGTTTGCTTAGATTTCTGAACTGGGTCAGATTAAATAAACATACTCTATTGGACATAAATAGCAGGATAGGAGATCGTCTTGGAAAGGTGATTAGTGTTTTAGGGATTTAGAAGTCTCAATTTGGGGTTAAATGGCGAGAGGTATCTCACCATGCATCTTCTGTCAAATCGCTCGAAGTTCCAACTCCACTCCCTCCTTCATTCAGTTCGTTCCTTTTCTTTTTCCTCTTTATTATGCCCTTTTGGTTACCAATTTAATTCCACGTTTGTCTTCTTTTCAATCAGCATTCAACCAGAAATACTTTATAAGTTCTAAATCAGCTAGACTGTTTTCAGGATGACAAGGTCGTTGCATTTCAAGATATCAAGCCTGTTGCTTTCAGGTTTCTATGAACTGATTGAAATGTGGTAACTTTCATGATAATTTTGAATAACTGGAAAATTATTGATTCGAGTTTTGTAGGCATTACTTGGTGATACCAGTGGAGCACATTCCAACTGTCAACGATCTTCAAAGAGGAAATGAACATTACACATTGGGTAAAGTTCCCTTTGTAGACTTTTTATTTACCCTTTTCTTCTTTCATTTTTCATTATTTGACTTAGCTAAGTTTTATTTGTTTATGCTGTTATTCTTCAGTAAGTCATATGTTAAATGTGAGGGGAACACTGTTACACAGAGATGCACCTCAGCCAAATGAATATAGGTATTGCTTCCCATAAAGTAAACAACTTTGCTAAATGGGTATCCTTTTATGTCCTAACTTATATAGAATTGATCTATGTTGAGTAGACCTTATTGCTTTTCATCACTTTACTTGACCGCAATGTTTGATTTATAGTTGTATTACTGTTTGTGTAAAAGCTCTTAGAAATGGACATATTTTGTATGAACTGTCCTTGTTCCATGCATTAGGACTTGGATTTCAATTACTCCTTCAAAGCCGTGTAAATGCTTTCTATTCTGGTTTTCATTTGCGTTTGATAATTTTTGCAATCAAAAAAATGTTGAATGAAAATAAAGTTGTAACAACTAATTTCGAAATAAAAAAAATTGGGAACTAAAGTGTAAATATATATATCTAAATTATTGGGATTATTTAGGGATTTTTCCTATTTTAAGTGATTATAATAGAAATATAAAAAATTTAGTGGACTATATGTAATTCGACCTTGGGTTAGTGATCAGGATGTAAATAGACTCCCAAATTTTGAGGACTTAAGCTAATTAACCCCTAAACTAGTGACTAAAACGAAAAAAGATGCTAAAATTGAGGGGATCATTTGGCGATTAACCCTTAAAATAAATTAACAAAATAAGAAACTTCCAGAAACAAAGAACCTTACGCGTAATTTACCCAAAAAAGAAAAAATAAAATGAAACCATTATCCGTTTATTCTGCTTCACTCTCAACCTAACCTAAAAAAAAACCTAATATGCTCTCATCTTCCTCTTTTCCTCACACAACAGTCGCTCAAAGGCCCCCATAGTCGAACCTCGTTGGTCACTGCCATGGTGACCGTTCCTCATCTTGATCGGCTCCATTCACGATCAACGAAGGTCCTATTCAAAATTGCATGGATTTTCTTTTACACTGTTTTTTTTTTTATTTGAATGCTCTCCCCTCTCTAACAATGAGTTTTGTATGAGTTATATATTAACCCATTTACATATTTAAAACAAAAATGATGATTTTTGTTTGTTTGCTTGTGAGTTGTAACCGGGACGTGGAGGGACAACTAGTGGTGCTGGGCTGCTGGCAGCTACTGTGTGGAGTAAGAAACCAACTGTTGTTGTTGCTAACTGCTGGAACGTGGAGCTGCTGGGGGATGCTAATTGGAGCGGGGAACCAGCTGTTGTTGAAACTGCTGGTAGCTGCTGAAGTTGAAACGTGGAGGGTTTGTTGTTAGGTAAAAATGGTGATTACAGTTGCCCCTCTTTGCTCGTTGCTGTGGAACATGAATGGAGCAAAGACATAAATCACAATTTTTAGCTTGAATTGTTCAAACTTCTGAGTTATAAGCTCTTCTCATTATGAATTTTTCGCTCACTTCGGACGAGTTCTTCTTATTATGAACTTTTCTACTGGGAATGCTGATATATCTCCTTCTATGATGGATTTGACAAAAGGTTGAACAAATTCTTCTCATTGTGAACTTCTTCTTCTTTTTCAGATGAGTTATTCTCATTATGAACTCATTCTGAAAATGTTGATATTCGAAATAGGGGTTGTTAATTTGGCTTCATATGTGATGAATTAAGGCAAGTTTGAATAAATTCTTCTCATTATGAAATTCTTCTTATTCTTCAGATGAGTTCTTCTCATTATGAACTCTTCTGGAAATGTTGATGCTGATCTATCTTCTTTTGTGATAGCGTCGAGCAAAAGGTTGAACAAGTTTTTCTCATTATGAACTTCTTCTCATTTTTCAGATGAATTTTTCTCATTATGAACTCTTCTGGAAATGTTGATCCATCGAGTGATGAATTCGAGTAAAAGGTTGAACAAGTTCTTCTCATTATGAACTTCTTCTTCCTTCTTCAGATGAGTTCTTCTCATTATGAACTCTACCTGGCAATGCTGATTCACCGAGTGATGAATTCGAGCGAAAGGTTGAACAAGTTCTTCTTATTATGAACTTCTTCTTCCTTCTTCATATGAGTTCTTCTCATTATGAACTCTACCTGGCAATGTTGATCCATTGAGTGATGGATTCGAATATTTGTTAAAATCTTTGAAATTCCTGTCAAATATCCAACATGGATAAAATGAATGAAAATGCCCCTATATTTGAAAATGCCTAAATATAATGCATGAATGTTGAGTGTATTTTTTTACTTCAAAGTGGCAAACTTGGTCTTCCTTCATTTGGTCAAAATGTCATTTCAAGCTGACATTTCTGATTTGGAAGAGCAATCTTTGCTTCATTTGCATTAAAGTCGCAGAAGAAATGTTTCATCTATAGAATTCTTGCTTAATCATAATTATGACCTTGATGCCCTATTTTGTCTTGGATAAAACCAACTTTCTTTGCTTGGGCTTGTGTAAAAATCTAATAAAGCTTTCATCTTTGAAAAGATAATCCATCATATTTGGAAAGAGAATCTATAATTTTTGAAGAGAGAATCTATCATCTTTGAGGAATGTAGATGTAGATATGCTAAACTCAGCAGAGATTAATTAAGAGATCAGCGTCAGTTATGATTTGACTCTTGAAACACATTACAAGGAAGATTTATCCTAATTCCTTTCATGTCTCCACATCTAATCAGATCTCGAACAAGGCAACTTGGACCATATCATGTCAAGATGCTTAACAATAACCTGTCGTTCAACATTAGTCGGCTCCACTAGTTTCTTGTTGTTAAAATTTTTGCTTCCCTTATGTGGAAAGAAATCTTCATCATATCTCACTTCAAAGCTTGGTGTTGATGAAGACAAACTTCATCTTGGATCTATAAATGAAAATGCCATATGATTGCAACATTGGTTCAACACCATAATTACTGGTTCGTAAAACACTTGACAACACATTCATCATTTCCTGTGGATTATGCTCAGATGCTCGTAAAACATTTGACAACACATTCATCTAACTGTGACTTCTACACAGATTTCTGGTCAGGGAAGCTCTTTCATAGTGTTCAAAACTTTTGTATGATGTCACAAAACTGTTTGAGAACAAAACTCAATGGGAATATAAGTGAAATGTTGGCGTGTTTCATGACCAAAAAGTTGGTCAAATTCAAAAAATATGCTAGTGCCGAATTGAATAAGAGATGCCAACTGATCTTGATATCATCTTGAGCAAGGGTAAGTGTGATATCGATCACGTTTTCTTCTATAATGAGTGTTGTAGGAAGTAGAAACACATCCGCTTATAGGAGCCATGTACAAAAAGAGGTACATGGAATTCTTGCTGCTGTAGATGAAACGTACATGATAAACCAAAATAGATGAAAACTCAGTTCACCCTGGCCGGTAATGATAACCCCGGTAATAAGCTAAAACTGATGTGTAAAATGACTTCGCAACGTCAACAATATGGTTGAAACTAACTGCCAGAAATATCAAAGAAATATGTTCAATCATTACTGACACACAAAAGACCAAATTCAAAGCTGAGATCTTGAGAAACTGAACTCTGGATTGAATGGTTTGCCTGACGACCATCTTGATCCATGCAACCGTGATGTAGATTAACAAAGAACACGCTGTCATGTGACACATGGTTAAGAAGATTGAGTATTTGAAACCATTCTTGTTGAGTAAATATTTGTTCAACAACAGAACCCTAATATAACTGCCTGATAAATGAAACAATTATGTATAGTTAGCTCGACTGTCACTGTTTCACCATTTTCATTCTTTATACCTTTTTGCCTTATTGGAAATATTTGTTCAAAGCAATGATCTTCCATAAGATGATATGGATCTTCAGTATACCCCAACATTGGCTAATACAAACATTCAAAATATATCAACATTTCTGATTTTGATTAAAATGGGCTTTCAGCATGCCCCATCATTTACTTCTTGTTAATTTGAGCTTTCAAAATGCCCCACATGGATATGTCTGAAGTAACCTTTAAAATGCCCCCAACATTTGCTGATACAGATGTTAAAGTGTGATCAACATTACTTCTTGCTGAGATGAGCTTCCAAGAATGCCCAAATATTCATATTACTATGAGCCTTCAAAATGCCCCAATATTCTATTTCTGGTTGAAATAGGCTTTCAAGATGTCCCGCATGGATCTGTCTAAATTGGGCCTTCACAATGTCCCCAACCTTCTAAATTGTAAGGCTTACTTTCAATGTTTGTTTGATTTCAATATCATGATCCTTATGAGGTCCAATTTTGACTATGTACTGTTGTGGGTACTTGCAGATTTATCCGTGCCTCAAATCTATTTATCTTGAATGCTCTCATTCTGATGTCACTAAACAACAGTTGTCAAGTAACTTGAGGAATTCTCTTCATGTTGTCACAAACTTGAATTCTCTTCATGTTGTCACAAACTTAAGAAGTAATCAATCATTTTGACGAATATGTCTGAGATGAGTTGCCCATTTTTTGGATCTGGAGGGATCTAATCGGACAAAGTGGTATAAATCGCTTGGTAATTCATTCCAGGCCGACACAGTGAACCATGTTTTCAATGAAGGCTATTTATGGAATATACTTTTATGTGGGAGAGAAACCAATTTATGTGAACAATAATCTTATTTTGATGTAATAACAAGACTACATATACAGTGGTATAGACTCTTGAAAAGTCTGCACCCATACAACATGTTGATTCTGATAACTACTCATCTGATTATGAAGCGATCTTTTAGGATGATTTTACAAATATTGATAGTTCTTCTAATACCGAGGAAATCCTGAATTCTGATGAGGAGAATAAACTGTTATAGTTGACGAAAATAGGCTACTCAGAGGTTGAGGCTTTAATAGCCATGGAGAAATGTGGTCTGGATTCATCAATTGCAGAGTTGACAGATTTTATATGTGCTTATCAAATGGCTAAGGTTGTTGACGCACTTCTTCTGGTAGAAGATAGGAAGCCATTATGCAATGATCCCAATTACAAAAAAAGGCGAAACTCGAGCTATGATTTTTGGAAAAGGAAGAAGCAGAGGAAGCTTGAAAAGAAGTTTCTTAATGAAGACGATCATGTAGTTCATCTTCTAAATCCAATGATTGGTTTTGGGGTTCCTATCGAACCAGATCAGATAACTCAAAGAACACTTCCAGAAGATGTTATTGGGCCTCCTTTTTTCTACTACGAGAATGTGGCACTTGCTCCAGTTGGTGTTTGGACCGAAATGTCACGGTACTTATACTATGTAGAGCCAGAATTTGTAGTTTCGAAGTATTTTTGTGCTGCTGCACGGAAAAGGGGATATATTCATAATATGTCAATTGAGAACATATTTCTTTTTATTTCGCTTCC